CTCCTCCTCCTCCTCCTCCTCCTCCTCCTCCTCCTCCTCCTCCTCCTCCCCCGTCTTCGGATCCGCCGTACTTTGGTGGGTTTCGCAAGCAGGGCGGCAATTTCCGCCCTGCTTGTTGGGCTCCTTTGATGCCGATTTCCGCCCTATTTTGCCGTCGCTGTTTTCGCCACACCTCTGCGGAAGTATCCGTGCTATGTCTGCTTGAGGTGGACATTTCCGCCGTATTGTTTCGCATTGTTTGGGGTGCATTTCTGACACACTTCCAAGTCGGAAAGTCAACCAAAGTATGGAGGATCCGAAGTCAGGGCCGTCCCTCTACAGGAAGAAGACCCCAAAACAGTAACAACATATGTAGCATGGGGACGATGTTTTGAGTATTTCTACTTTGTTGACTATTTGTTGTTGCTTTTTTACGCTTTTCGTTCCAAAATCCACCTGTAAGGGGGCATGCCCGACCTAAACTGAGGCCCAAAGCTGGCCCCGAGACTTCCATGAGGGCCCCAGGACCAGAAAGAGACCTCCAAGACGGCCGCAGAGCATCCCCATTGACGGCCCGACTGCCTAAAAATCGTGCATTTTCGTAGCTTGCTTAAGATTTTCGAGGTTCTCTCCATTTCCGGGCCAGGAGACGCTCCAGACGGCCCGGAGCAGCTCCAGACGGCTCCTGGGAGCTCCGAAAAGGTTTCAGTCTCGCCCGAGACGCTTCCACCATAGCTTCTTGGACCGCTCAAACGGCCCACAGACACCCCAAGTGAGCCCCAATACGGGCTCATAGAGCCCCACGGGCCCCCTGAGACAGCCCCAGGACGGTCCCAAGCGGGCTCCCGCACGGCCTCGGCCCCCCTACAGCCGATCCCAGGAGCCCCGTAACAGCCCCCCAGGGGCCCCCAGGGCACCATGAGGGCTCCAGACCGAGGCAGGCAGTCCGCGCACCTCGAGAGATGGAGAGCGACGGCGGCCTCTACAAGCTAGCCTGCGGGACAGCTTGCAAGGCCGTTCTCAGCCAAGGTCACATGGACCTGTCTGCGCGCGCGCCGGCGCGCAAGAGCACAGGGAGGAAGCAGCGGGAAGGCGGAGGACAAGCAGGGAGGAGACCGGAGGTCCGCGCGGACCTCTCCTGGGTCGGCGGTAGCCCCCCCGAGCCAGCCCCTGGACCGAGGCAGGAGGCCCCAAGAGAGCCCCAAGACAGGCCCATGGAGCCTCACGGGCCCCCCCGAGCCAGCCCCATGGACGGTCGCGAGCGGGCTCCCGCACGGCCTCGGCCACTCCGCAGGCGACCGCGGGAGCCCCGTAACAGTCCCCCAGGGCTCCTCCTCCTCCTCCTCCTCCTCCTCCTCCTCCTCCTCCTCCTCCTGCTTCTGACCTGCGCAAATTTTACGAACACATTTCGCACGAAGAGCTGCTGGCAGCGGCCCAGGCTAGCTCATTTCCGATAGCGCTCCTGCGAGCGTACTGTTGCCTTCATCGAGGCCCGAGGCGAGTGACTTGGCAGGGCGCGATCAGTCGAGTGATCCAGCCGAACGGCACGGTCATTGCAGGCTGCTCGGGGGCCACCACGTTTGCCAGGCTGCTGCTGCTTGGGGTGCTGCGCAAGGCCATGGTTGGCAACCCGACAGTGTGCATTAAGAACGTCATTGACGACGTCTCGCTGCATGCAGTCGGTGGTGAGACAGTCATCACGCGTGAGCTGGCAGCTTCGTTTCGGTCTGTGACGACGGACCTGCAGCGCATGGGCCTGCCCATTGCCATGAACAAGCTAGGCCTGCTTGCTTCCTCCTCGGCGCTGGCACAGGTGTTGTCCAGGCAGTGTGATTTGCCTGCCAAGGTGCGCGCCCAGGTTCACAGGGACCTTGGTGGGGACGCCACGGATGGCGCCAGGCGGCGTGTGAGCACCCAGCACGAGCGATTTGTGGAGTCCCAGCAAAAAGTGGCGAAGGTCCTCGCGCTTCGAGCGGCTGGGGCTCAGTGTGGCACCATTTTTAGGGCAGGCGTCACGTCGAAGGCCCTCTGGGGAGCCAACATCCAGGGCCTCCCCAATGGCAAGCTGAAACAAGTTCGGCTTGCAGCAGTTAGGGCGGAAGGGAGGCTCCCCAAAGGATGCTCCCTTGAGTTGGCCTCGATGAGCGTGAGGGGAGGGGAGGTTGGGCTCGGGATCCGTTGGTCATCCTAACGGCCGATGCTCTCCGCACCTACAGCCAGATCCTCAAGGATCAGCGCCTGGCACCTGTGGTGGTGCAGTACCTTTTTTCCAGTGGTCAGGAGTTGCTTCAGTTGTCCAGGCCTTGGGCCCGTGTTCGAGACCCCATTGCGGCCCTCCTTGTCACGTGTTCTCGCGTGGGCCTTGTTTTTGAGGACCCGTGGACCCTGAAGGAGGCCACGGGGGAGGTTTGGGATCTTCGCCAGGTCTCCCCAGCGTTCCTGGCCAGGAGGGTCCGATTCGCTGCTCGGCGTGTCTCGGACAAGGAAGGATTGGCCAAGATCGACCGTGGTCAGGGCTGGTCTGATGACATCTTTTGGCGACCATTGAACGAGCTTCTGCATAGACGCTGGAAGCTCGATGAGGATGACGGTGGGAGAGGCGGGCGGTGGGGGATTCGTGAGCAGAGGACTCTCCGAGGTCTCGTGATTGGCTCGCATTGGTGCCAAGCGCGACTTCACAGGCATGACCCTGCCCTGCCGTCGCACTGTCTCCTATGCGGGGAAGCTATCGGCAGCTTGTTCCATCGTCATGTTGATTGCCCCACTAGGCTAAGCTGGCGTCGAGACAATCTGCCGCAGGACCTGGATGGCCCAGTGCGGCGTTTGCGGGTAGGGCCAGCGCACTTGCAAGAGAGGTTCGCCAGGGGGATCCTTCCCGACCCTTGCCAAGTTTTCTCCCGACCTGGGTGGAACCCTGAGTGGGAGTTCAAGGTTGAAGGACAAGCGGCGCCGCTGGCGCTAGATGGTGGCCATGTTTTTTGCGATGGCTCTGGGGTCGATGGTTTCTTCCCGTCCTTTAGGGTTGCTGGTTGGGGTGTGGCGGTTTTCGACCATGATCACCGACCCCTGGCGGGGTGGTACG